ATGGGCTTCCTGCTCTTGTTCTCAGTCTTCCCACCCAAAAGGTGTCACTCACAGAATTAAGAGTTGCTTCTTTCTACCTTCCCTGCATGCCCATTTCTCTAACTATTCTGTAGCCTTCTGTTAATCGGTCTTCTTATTCATGTTCCCATTCTTTTTTTTTTTTATTTTTTTTCAGCTTTTTAACAGAACATGTGGATTTCTAGTTATGCCAGGAACCTCTCACTGTGTCCTGGTAGTACATGACTGTGTTTGGTAGTGAACATAGTGCAAATTCTTCCCTTTGGCTCTCCTCTCTCCTTTTAATGAAGGTGGGAGGGGAAGAAAGACTTCTCCTGTGGAAGATGACCCTGCTGACTTGCCCCTTTCTGTGCAAGATGGTGACAGTGATGGTACTCTTCTGTCTTCTTGATGGCACTGTTCTGTGTGTCTGCTCAGAGAGCAAGGGTCAGTGTGGAGCTGGAAATGCTCTGGGCCGCCTGGTCCCTCTTCTGCAGCAGTGGTCATGCTTACGCCATTGCTGTCACCCTTGAGCTGGGCTCCAGCTGGTTTGTACCAGTGGGGTACTCTAGGAAAACACGGGATTACAATAGAAAAGGAAGCAAGAATGCATTGCAGAGTGAGTGACAGGAAACAATATTGAATGTTTCCGGTACTGTGCTAATTGGACTAACCAAGTGGAAAATATTTGCTATTCTGAGAGTTCCCTGATAGAAATGCGCAGTTGTGTTTTAGTTTTTCAGAACAGTAAAGATTTCTCTAATGTCGTTCTCCATTCTTAAGCTCTTATCAGCTTGGAGGCTTTGATGAGGCTTTGCTACGTTGAATATATCTGTTTAGATTCTGCCTGCTTTCAGACGCCAAATAATTCCTTTATCAGCGGTTCTACTGCTGTTAGCTTTGCTGCTATTCCTTGCTTAGAGCAACACTGGTAAGTTTAGGGTTTGTTCTTTATTGTGGCCTTGGTCATATGGGTGCTTTTAATGGTGAGGAAGCCGCCAGTGCACCATCCAAAATGAGATCAGCGTTTGAGTTCTGCCGGGATGTGCAGTGGTACACATCTGGTGAAATCAGTTGTGTTTCTGAATTCCCAATTTTGCTGGAGTCCACATGCTGAGCTCTGTTTTTCTGATTATTTTTTTAATTATATGATTAGAAAAGTTGACACTGCTTCTCATTTTTGTCATTGCAGAGATTTTTCCTGTCTCTTTGTCTGTTCTCTCCCAGCCTTTCAGATGTCTACAGGGCTTAGCCTTCCGGGAAAGAACCGTCATCTTTGCAGTTGTGATATGCAAAGCGTGATAGATAAATAACGGAATCTCTGTGTGTGTGTGTTGCCTTATAAAATGTTGAGTTTTAATTACATGAAGTTAATGTCCCAAAAGGCATCTCAATCACTGGTTAGATTTTTTTATTAACTTTTTAAATCTCTTAATATGAACAGAATTGCCAGAGGTTACTTAGGCAACAGACCTCTACTGCACTTCCTGATGTGGTCGGTTTGAAACTCTTCAGCTCAGACATAAGGCCTTGTATCCCATGTGCTGAGAAACAGCCTGGATGACTTCCAAATATTTCTGAAAAACATCTTGGAAACAAAATGAACGCTTTCCTTGGAATTCAGCTGTTCAAGGTGATCATCTGCTGTGCCCCACTTGAACAGTCTGTGAACTCCAAGGCTACTGTCGTGGCTGAAAACGTGCGATCCCAGTGTCTGCTGATCCAATGGGCAGCGTTTGCTTAACTAGGAAATGCAGCCCAGCTTATCACAGAAAACTGTCCTCCGCCTTTGCCCACCTCAAAGAAGTCATAAATCATCATAAAAACCACTCAGCATGTCAAGCTGTAAAGCTTTTAAAACAATTTCGAAGGCTGTATAGCTCGGAAGAGAACACCTATCTTTTGAGAGCTCTTTGGCTTAGATATGAAGTGACACTTGGCCAATGCACAGAATTTTCTGGATAGAAGATGGACCTGTCTGCTTTTATTTTCTTGCTCTCCTCTCTGAGGATGCTTTTCTGCAGACCTGTGGCTGCTATGGTGATTTTGGAATTCACTTTGCATTTGTGAATTAATGCGTATTATTTTAAGGTTTATCTGGTCCACAAGCATGCTTAAATAAAACTTTGAAACACTTCAAACTTCCTTCCTGTCCATGTTTGGAGCCTTGAGAACAGACATTGCAACCAAAGGATCTCAGCTGCTTTGCACGCTCTTGAGGAGCCTGCTGCTTTGGGTTCCTGGTTTTGTTTTTTGCTGCAGACCGCTCTTGTGGTGTGGTTTAGCAATTGTCATGTGCCACTAATGCTGTGTAGCTGTGTTGGATTCCTGCTAGAGCAAACCAAATCACTGCTCTATGAAGAGATTTAAGAAGCAAATTTTGGACAAAGAACATCAAAGGTGCACAAGGAATCCTCTTTTTGAGTAGTTTGAGACACAGTCAGAGTTCAGAGCCATGTTCTGAAGAGCATTGTCCCTGCAGAGGTGCGGCTGATTCCCCACCACCTTCCTTTCCTCTTCCCGCTTTTGGGAGCGTCTATGCAAGGATCCAGTCTTCAGCATTCGTCTTTTGAAGGCGTGAGTCCAATTTGCACCTTTTGGGTTGGAAAATGACAATTATTACGTAACAGGGATGCTCCCAGCTGACTTCTTACTTTCACTGGGACTGTGATTTGAGGCAGCATGTAGCGTAACTTCCCTAAGTGTGGCTGCGATACAGCCGAAAATCACTTGTGTCCCCTCTTAGCTTTTGGCAAGGTTGTTTCTGGCAACCTGCTCCTGTTTGAGGAGTCAAATGACCTGGATTTCACCACCACCACCACCCCCATACCTTTGTTTTGTAAGCATGCCGAGTTCCATCCCTGTACAGCCAGTATTTTTAACCTGAAGACAGCACAACTTGGATAGATTCATCTAAATGTCACTCGTGACTGGGGAAAGGAAGAGCTGCTTCTGAGAGCAAAAGAAAAAGCAGACCTTAGGCTGCTCTAGCTTGGGTATAGTATGAAAGATTTTTTTTTTCTACCCTCCTTCTGTCTCGTACTTTTTATACCACGCTGCGTGTGGCACACTGAACAGCGTACAGCCTTGGAGCTTTTCAAGGTAAAAGGGAGCAAGGACTTCACGCAGCCTCTGGCTGAGGTTATCTGAAGTGTGGAATACAGCCAGAGAAAAATAAGGTGTTTGTGTTATAATAATCAAAATAAGATAAAACTTTCACACGAGCTTAAAAGTACCTGTTGACTTTTTAAGTATATTGTTGGGACCTACTGATAGAAGAAAATAGCATCTCTGTAGAGATTTTTATGTATAATATTCCATGTAGTAATTGGAATCTCTGGTGTGTACTGTTCGTGAGGACTGTGTAGGCTTCCCGTGAAGAGAACTCGCACATTTTTCACACCCTGAGTTTGTCAAGTTTGTGTTGGAAGAAGTAGCATATGGTACATGTAACTCTATGTGATGTTTGAATTTTTTTTTTTAGATGAGATTGGTGCTTGCCTTTCCTACTGGGAATACCATTTCTTTAGCTCTGGAAGATTTCTTTTAATTTTTGAGTGTCTGATAGGTATAAGAAACTAATTCTGTTGTCTCTGGTTGCTCATGAATATTGGAGAAATACTAGACCGCAGTGCCTTGAGTTCAGAAGTTCAGATCTTGTTTGGATCAGTAGTGACAAACTACTGCAAGATGTCCGTTTGCTGCTGATGGGAAACGACTTGGGACCTCGAGCGAGACTGCTGTCCTGCCACCAGCCCCAAGAACCTCTGCACACCAACCCCGATAAGGCTGCACGCCACTGCTTGTAGTAGGTGGGGAGGAAAGGCTGAGTAGAGCTCCAAAGGAATTATTTTTCCCATCCCACCCCTCTTTTACAGATAAGAGAAGGCTTTTAATCCGATCTGAAGAAAATTGGCCAAGCAGCGTTTGTCGTGAAACATCCGTACGCCAGCGCTAGGCTTTTGCTGGACAGCTCGTGCCTGTAGCTCAGCTCCTGGTGACAGCTCCCTTAGTGGGGTACACCTGTGTGTGTGTTTGGTTTGTGTTTCACTGGAGTGGTGCCATCTTCTGAGTCCGCACAAATATTGACAGTCCCAAACTCTTGAGCGTGGTGTTCATGGAAAGGCAAGACAGTACCCTGCAGCAGGTGGCTGGTTTTGAGCAGGTGTATGAGCAGAGTGCAGAAGTAGGTTGCCTTCCTATATATCTGTGTGTATCAGTTTGTCCATCTCATTTGCATTGCATTCATTATTCTGTGATACCTCACAGTCCTAATTAGTGGCTGATGAGCAAAGACCCAAACAAAACGCTGCGACAAAAAGCAGTGGATCGCATTCATTGCGGTTCTTAAGGGAACACTGATCTCTCTTTGAGGAAGATGCTGTATTCCTAACGTCGTCCATCAACAGCAGTCTTACAGTGACCACCCCAGACCCTGGTGTGATTTCTAGTCCTGGTGGTTTTTGGTTTGACATGTCTCAAGATGAGATAGTTCAAACCTAACGGCGTAATGCCATTAAAACGCGTTGGGCACCTTTGGTTTTTCCTGCCCCTTGGGTGCAGTGAAGAACAAAATGGAAAGCTGTGGTAGCCAGTTGGGGGGTGGTTTTTGTTCTCGCCTTTCCTTAACGTGTTGTTGTTTGGTAATTTGTGATAATCTGTGCTCAGTTATGCGCCAGGCTGAGAGGCAGTAAGGAGAGGACGCACTCGCTGTTATTCCAGTGCGCGCTGGCTGAGATTTAGGGATGGTTGTGTGCAGTAACCAGTGAGCAACGTTCTGAGATTGGTTCATGACTTCAGCGCTAAGTTTTTGGGTTTATTTTAAGCCTCCTTACTAATAGTTGAAACAACTAAAACTTGCCCTGTGTTTATTCTTCTCTGTTCTTATGACTCCAGTAAAACAATATTGAACTTTGCCTTTTGACAGCAAGAGCTAATGAGTTTTTGCGTTTTTAAAGCTTCTCTCTAAATTTAGATTATTATCTTGTCTTGCAGGCTGCTATATGGCAAGCACTTAACCACTATGCTTACCGTGATGCCGTGTTCCTCGCAGAGAGATTATATGCAGAAGGTATGTACATTGTAGATACAAAGGTGATGCTTTTTTCAATTTTGATTTAGGATTTTTGAGCCTCTCTGGTCCTGCTTTGTTTTACTCCTGTTGTAATGATGAAATTTAACTTTCTGCTTGGGGAAGGCAGAAGAACGCCTCACGATTAGGTTGGAAAATCAAATCATGTAACAGCAACAGTGTTATTTTACAGTAAAACCTCCTTAAAAAAATAAACTCAGTTGTGTGTTTAAGTACAATGTTTACAGTGATCTGGTGTATGCTATAAAATGGGAGAGAGATTTTTTTTTATAACCTTAAGCATTGCATGTCTTCCAAGGGCACTTGAGGATGGATGCACCACGCAAATTCTATAAATTGTCTTGATATTGAGAGTGTCTTTGCTGATAGTGCTGTTCAGGTGTGTTGATTGATGTTAGCTGCAAGAGAATCTTGTCATCAGCAGAGAAAAGCATGGTGAAATGGAGACAATGAGAATCAGAACAGATGGAATAGGTATCTCCTGATGAATTCTTGTTCATTGTTACTTCCTGGTGATGCTGTCAGATCTAGGATGTCTTGGGCACTGAGCAGGTAGCAGTAACACAAATCTGTGCTTTTCCTGGGTCCTTGTGTTCGAGTCCTTCTTCCTTAACCTTTCCTCCATGGCCTCATAAGCTTTTTGTTCTTTTCTACTGCTTTCTCCTCGATACTCCTGTTCAGCTTTCCTTCTCTGTTTTGAAAGGTATTGTCCCATAATCACTAACATGGGAAAAAAAAACAACCCAACCCTTAAGCTAAAATACAAGCGTAGAATAATTTCTCATGCTGAACACCTTGAGCTTAACGTGAATTAAACTGTATAACCTGTTTCACGCTCTGTTTTGTAATGAAATGTTTTGCTTTCAGTGTTTGCCTGACATGCCCACAACGCCCTTAACAAGGGAAGCACAAACCTAATTTCTGAGAAATAAAGACCTTTTTTTTTTTTTTCCTAATGTCAAGGTTACCTGTGAAATCTGGGGTCTTCCATCTGGTCCTTAAGTGGGAAGTGTTGTGCAGAGTATTATGGAACCTTATAATCTAGGTGTGCAGAAAGGAAATAGTGGTTCAGGGATGTCATACCGCCCCTGAACACGGCACATCGTGAGGTGCAGGGGGATTGAAGGTAATTGCCAAGGCTGTAGAAGCAAAGAGAATTCACTTTTTGCAGCAACCAAGAGGAAAATTTATGACTTGATCCGGACGCTATCTTTGCAGAATAATAATCCACAAGAGTACTTCAAACAGGATTTTTTTTGGTGCTGAGAGAGAACAGCATGAAGGCTGTCACTTGGTTCAAGCAGTTAACTGCTAACAAAACATCTGGCTTCTGGTTAAAATGAGCAGTTCTACTGCAGAACAGAAGCTGCGGAACGTGAACACAGTGACTCCGTGTTGGCAGGAGTGTTTTTACCCAAGAAGAACTTTTAAGTCCACCTGCAATCACTGGCCTCGTGGGGACATCTGTGGCTTGGTAGCTTCCCAGAACTGGAATGTGCTTCATTCACTGGTTTCTTATCTCTTACTCCCTCCCCCCCAAATTCTTTGTATCAAAACCAATCGACTAATGATTGTAATATTTTTTTTTTCTATTTTTTTAGTACATTCGGAAGAAGCACTATTTTTACTGGCAACGTGTTACTACCGCTCAGGAAAGGCCTATAAAGCATACAGGCTCCTAAAGGGACACAGCTGTACTACCCCACAATGTAAATACCTGCTTGCAAAATGTTGTGTTGACCTCAGCAAGTAAGTAAATCGTTTATGTTCTGTCCAGGGTTATAAATGTTGGTTTTTTTTTTTTTTCTTTGAAAGTTGTCATATTGCATGAACTGGTAATTCATTGGTCCTTCAGGTCTAAAGATAACAATTAGAAGTTTAATTCATTTTGCTTTCAGATCTGGACCTGATGAACATTAGCCCATATTGCAGAAACCTCTGCAAGTATTGAGTAACTGAGGCGCCAAGACGGGCAAAAACTTTCATTTAAAAGACTTTAAATACTGCGGGGGTCTTTACAGAAGCTTAAATGTGTCTCTAGAAAATAGCTTGTGGTTATGTGTTGTGGCTTTTTGGTTTTTGGGGGTTTTTTTTGGTTTGTTTTTTTTTGGGGGTTGTTTTTTTTTCAGTGGCCCCCTTCCAGTGACCAAAAAAAAAGTTTAATTTCTTTAGAATAGATAACATGGTGTTTGGAATTTCACACAGTACGATGCAATTATTTTATAGGATTCCCGAACCTGCTCACAACTTGTAACCAAAATGCAGGTCTCTCCAGGGAGTGCTCCTTAGCCTTTGATACTCTCTTTAGTAAGCAAGTCCTTTGACATCTTCAGAGTAGTGAGGATATCTTGACTTGGTGTATTTCTTTTGGCACTCTGTTAACACTTGTGGAGCTATTAGGATACAGGTTTCTTTGCATCTTCTGTTGAAAGGGAAATCATGTTAATGCTCTACTTGGAAGGGTCCCAGTGGAATAAATTTGAAGCGGATCGTTCCCTCCCTCGCTTTTACAAAGTCTGGTGTGTGCATGTAGTACATCAGCTTCTGAAGGGATTTCAGTTAAGATAGGAGGGATTTCTTAAGCTTTTTCTTTAGAATTTGATAAAATTAACTGTCACTGCTGTTACATGAGCTCATTTATACAGATGTACCTTATTTTCTCCTGAGAATGGTTTATACTGATAGAAGCATCTACCTACAAGTGTAATTTCAAGTGGAGGCAAGAAGAGATTTGTTTGGGCAGATGTCAGTCTCAAATGCCAGAAGAATGCCTCCCATCCCCAGAAGTTGTATCAGGTCATTTTCAAGTCTAATAGTGAATGGTCCATTCCATGTGAGCAGTACTGCTCTCTGCAGGTGTAGTAGGTGCAAACCGAGCCTTTGTTCTCCTTTGGAGCTGCTCTTGCGAGAAAGCAAGGCATTAAAATCCAAAGTCTGTGCCATATCCCAACACCGGATCTTAACTGAGTGCGTGGAGCCCTACACATTGTATTTCTTAGTTGGGGAAACAAAGACAAACTAAGTGGTGTCATAGTGTGGTACCAGGTAAAGTACCTTCAAAAATGAAGTGTCTAGAAGAGTTTCTTGTCCTCCATTTAGTATTCTACCTAAGATTAGTGACTTCTGGAAGAGTCATGTTGTATGATGTGTCTCTGGCTTTGCAGCAGTGTGGGGGTTTGGGGTTTGTTTTGGTTTTCTCCCCTCCCAGTAGAGATGTTTGGCTTCAGCATACTGCGTACCTCCATGTTGCTAGAGGAACCCATCAATGATTTAAAAGTCATTCGCGGGAACTAGTTTGTATGTGGTTTGAAACCTGTGAACACTGATAGTGGATTTCTGTTTTTGTTTGCAGCAGGGTGAAAACACTGGACTACCAATACTGTGAGCCTTGTAACCCCTTTAAACCTCTTGTTTTTTACAAAGGCTTGCAGAAGGAGAGCAGATCTTATCTGGTGGAGTGTTGAATAAACAGAAAAGCCATGATGACATTGTTATGGAGTTTGGTGACTCTGCATGCTTTACGCTCTCTTTACTGGGACATGTCTACTGGTAATGTTGCTTTGTTGTTTTTTTTTTTTAATAAAGCTTGGGGTTTTTTATTTGACCAACTCCAATTTTAGTCACCGCAGGGTCCTCCTGTCTGTGGGTTACATGGCCTGCACAATGTCAGAGTATCAAAGATGCAGGTAGATGGTTGTGGAAGCCATCTATCTTCGAAGTGCAGGAATGGTTTGTTTTCACCCAGAGCTGCTGACTTGACTGAAAGCACAAATTCCTCTTTTCTGGGCTGTTAAGCATACAATCCAAGAGTCTTGTTTGTTTTATACTTCTGGGTTTGTTCTGTATTCTTCCCTAAGAGAAGCTCTCAAGGCCCGTTTCTCAGTGTTGCCATTTTGATTTTTCTCTATCTATTTTACAGGTGTATAGCTATAACCCTCAAACAAAAGTTTGAGGACTGCCAGTCAGAATAACTTTAGAAATTTAAGTGTTTTGCTTTTGCCTAGATACAAGAAAAGTTTCAGTAAATGTGAACAGATTGAATAGGAATAGTGGGGTTCTTGGAATCTTCCCTAGGATACCTGTTCTCAAAAAAAAAAAAATCAGAAGCTAACTTTGTAGCCAGATTTTGGTTTAGCCCTGAATTCAATGCAAGAATATTATGCGTAGATGTTTAAAATGGCTGGAAGGCTAGCAGTCAGGTTGCTGTTAGCAAAAAAGAAAAACTGTTGCAAAGAACAGCATCTTTCTAAAACAAAAATCCTCAAGCTGTACTAGTGCTTATGTAACTTTTTTTGAAGACTGCCTAAGTAACTTTCATCTGTGTCTAAATATGTCAAATAACTTCAAAAGAACTCGGTATTACTCTGTGGCTTGAAAAATGAGGAATGCTGCTGTGACTCTCCCCAAGTTTTTGTTTTTCGTCTCTTCCTCTGGAAAGCTATCTCGAACAAAAGTGCTGTTCTGGTTTCCCTATGAACTGTTACATTCTTTTTGCAGCAAGACAGACCGGCTTGCCAAAGGATCAGAATGTTACCAAAAGAGCCTTAGTTTAAATCCTTTCCTCTGGTCCCCTTTTGAATCGCTGTGTGAAATAGGTAAGTTGGCAGAACTCTTCTACTAGTGAAGCCGTTTTCTATGTTTCTGGTTATGTCAAGCTTTCCGATTTGCCATCGCCATGTGGTAAAGTTTATTTTACTCCTTGTCCAGAACTAGTGAGGGAAATGCCAGCAGAATTCTTTGGGAGTGGCTTCATGAGGAATAATGCGTTTAAAATCCTTTGCCTATGTTTAGAGCTTGTGTCTTGTTTTCTTCCATTTTCACCACTCGCATGCTTCTGGATTTAACAAAACCATGTTTTCCAACCTGCAGTTCATAGGCCCTTAGAAGCTGTGCTTCTGAGAATAACTTCAGTCTGTTTGTTTTTTGGTTTTTTTTTTAAATGGATTGTCCAGGATTTTGTAGTGGAAGAACACTTCTGATCTAGTGTAAAAGGTTTTAAAACAACGAAATAAGAACGCACCCCTTCTAAAATACTTTGTCCTTGTTTCAGACTGAATAGTCAGTGTACAGACTCAGGAATAACGAATCTCCTTCCAATCTTCCAGGTGAAAAACCAGACCCTGACCAAACATTTAAATTAACGTCTTTACAGAACTTCAGCAGCTGTCTGCCCAACACTTGCACAACATTGGTGTCTAATCACAACATATCCCACAGACAGCCTGAGACTGTCCTAATGGAAACGCCGCAAGACACAATTGTGAGTTTCACTATAATAATTGTATTTAAAGCAGTCTTTCTGGCTTTACTGGACAAAATGGGTATCTAACAGCTGCCTTCCATTTTTCAGGAGTTGAACAGAATCAACTTAGAATCCTCCAATTCAAAATACTCCTCTCTGAACACAGATTCTTCCATGTCTTACATTGACTCGGCTGTAATTTCACCAGATGCTGTCCCTCTTGGGTCAGGAACTGCCATATTGTCTAAACAGGCTCAAAATAAACCAAAAACTGGGCGGAGTTTACTGGGGGGACCTGCAGCTTTGAGCCCCCTAACTCCGAGGTGAGTCCTTGAGAAGATAAACAATTTCTGTCCAGAGCTGTGCTGTTGGTGATGGTTGCGATCTGAAATGGGAAAGATGTCTGGTGCCACACGGAGTACTCAAATGCACGTGTTGATAAATAATCCTGCAGAAGCAAAAGCTGACCAACTTCAGGAACTGTTCTTGGTTGTCATTTTCATCTCTTCTGTTTATTTTTTAAAAGCAGTTGGTATTTTTGATTGGAAGAAAGGAATTCTTGATTCAATATAATACTTATTGCAATGTTCACACTGGAAAAGGTCTTTAAAGGAGTATGCTTTTGAAAGAAACTCTTCAGAGCATTTCTTGAACAGCTCTCTCCTGAAGATGATGTAAATATATGCTCTGTCCTATACACCGTCTTATTTAAACAGTGTTATGTTGCAAGCCATCAATACTTGGATGCTCTGGGTGTGTTAGTCATTATGCAGGCAGGTGAAAAAGGCTCTTTTCTAGATGAGGATGGTAAGACATTAGAGGGTTAACATAAAGTACTAAAAGTTGGTTATCTGGGTCTCTGTTTTAACCACAGGATCAGAGCAGTTCTCGTGGTCTAACATTCAGACACTGACCCTTCCTCTTCGTTTTGTTCTCAGCTTTGGAATTTTGCCACTAGAAACCCCAAGCTCTGGAGATGGATCGTATTTACAAAACTACACAAACTCTTCTGCTGTAATTGATGTGCCATCCACAGGAGCACCTTCCAAGAAGGTATCTTGCATTCTGGAATCTGATTGCTGTTCTGGGTGTTTGACGTGGCAGTGTACTTCAAAGAAGAATCCGTAATGCAGATGATAAACCATAGCGTGTGAGCTGAATTGTGCTGACAGTGGGGAGAACCCAGCTCACCCACTGTTTCACAAAATTGGTGTTGAAAAACAGTTTGAGCGTGAAACTGATTGAAGCCTCCCTTAGTGAGAATTAAATTTATGTATAATTTGGCTGCGAAGTGTGTATAAAAAAAACCCAACAAAACAAAAAAAAAATCCTTGCTCTTACTAACAGTTCTTTCATGCAGCAAAATAAAAATGTTGTTTGCTGGTTTATGGATATTTATCAGCTAGTGAGGGTGGAGATGCAGGGAGCAGTTTATTTTAAATTTGACTGCAGCTGGTCAGGTATTTTTCTGACAAAACTTTTCAGACTTTCCTGGAGAGTTAGATAAAATCATTCATTGTAGAATAGTCAGTTACATTGAAACAACTGTTTCTAAAGCCTCCATAGTTTTTATTTTGAAAATCTTTTCAGCTAAGCAAATGAGACAGCAAGAAAAAAATACACCGTATGGCAAGTAAAGACAGCTGCGGTGTAAATATTTCCAGCTTATTGTGTCGCATCCTTTGGCTAGCAAAACAGATTTTTTTTGTTTTCTCAAGTTTTTGAATGATAAGCAATAGTCTTCTGTTTCTAATGAAAAAAGCCCTTTTTTCCCCGCACCCAAAAAGCACAGACATGTGCGGGCTGCCTGAGTGGTGTTGCTAGAGGCAGCCTGGGGACGGTGCTGTAGCGTCTGTCCGCCTGCTGTCGGAGAGGAATGCACAAACACTGATTCTGAACAACAGAGGGTTTATAACTTCTCAGTGTGCAAGGTAGAGTCTGAAGACAATCCACACTTGGAGTTTTCACTTTAAGTTTTGGGGTTTTTAATAAAAAAATGTATTTTCAGGGATGACTTTGAATAATCATAGAAGTCTCAATTTGTTGCGAGCAGTTTGAGTTGTACTGTACAGAGCAGAGCAATCAAAATCCTGCTGGTGGACTGGAGGGCTGACTGGCAGAAGGGTGCTGTTTCACCCAGCTAAGTCTTGTCTGGAGGAAACTAAAAATTGTCTTTTTTACTCTGTAAGAAACTGCTGTAGTTGCCATAGTGATAAATGAGAGGTGGAATGTTAGTGACAGTTGAAGAAACATTTGTTCCTTTCTAAAAACAAAAAACCTGAGGATTTTTCTCAGTATTTTTAGTAAATCTAGAAGTTGCATGAGGGATGTTAGTGGTTTATAGGTGGCCAACTCTTTGAAGTAAAAACTCAGTGTGAATAATAGTGATGAATTCCTCAAAACATAGAGCTTGAATTTCCACGTTTGATGCTCTGGACAAATCCAGTTGTTGCTCCTCTTGCTGTGCCATTATGTAAGTGAAATTTGGGAGCTGTTAAAAACTGTGTGTCTTCTCTCCTTGGCCCAGTAGTTAAAAGAATAAAAGCCAGTAAGCAGATAACTCTTTTTCTTTCGGATGGTTTTCTGAAGCCTGTGCCTGGAAACTCTGGAATCTCGTTGCACGAGCCGTTACGGTATCGTGCCTCTAGACATCTCACTATTGCAGCACTTTCTGTCAGTTCTCTTCGTCCTACTTGCTTTTTTTTTTTTTGCCTTTTGTTCTGTTGGAGCTGGACTATGCTAAAGCAGTCTGCTAGAAGCATGCTTCATGTGGCTGATCTGATTCTGTCCTGTAGTTGCTCAGGACCACCCAGTTTTCCACGGCACAGTTGAACACACTGGCTTGTGGTGGATCATGCGTATGTAGGAAGGTAAATTTTTCATGAGGCTGAAAAATGGAAATAGCAAAGTGCAGCTCTTCAGTGGAGTGCTTGTCTGCATTTTATCTCACGTGTGCACTACGTGATAGATGACAAGGCAGAATCAAGTCATATTTGCTGCTTTTTTTTTTGTTGTTGCTTTGCTAGGAATGGTGTGACAGCACCAAGGTGTAAATCTCATAATCCCTGCATGTGCTTCCTGCCTAGATGCATCTATGCTACTACATAAATACGAATATTTAATACATTTTAATAAACAGCTTAGAATTCTGATACATGCTTTGTCCAATGCAAATAATTACTTGGCCAGTTTCACGTCTGCTCTTCAAATTACCGAGCTAGAGAAGGTTTAGCGTAGCTGCGGCTAGAACGGGCATGACTTACCGGAGGCAGTTTCCTAGGAAACACTTACGTAAATGAATGAAACGTTAGGATGGATCCAGAGGCTTCCTATCGGAGTGGGCAAGCGTGCTCGCTGGCCGCCTAAGCTGTCCTCTGATAACAAGGAAACTGAGAAGGGAGGGGAAGGACAGAACAGTAGGAGTCGGGTAATGCATGAACTGGTGTTGCTTGTGCTGTCATTGATCCCGCGTGATGATTTCTGGTGTCTTAAAGAGCATCTCTACCAAACAGCCATCACCGGCTTGAATGTTAGCGTCCCTGGAGAGGGCAGAGCAATAGGGTTTGGGCTTCTTTAGAAGACAGGAGGACCTGGTCAGAATCCTTTTGTAGGAAGTCTGCACATCAGACAATTTCTGTCTGAACTTGTTCCTTAGGTCTTGGGACAGGTTATCACAGCTCTGAGATCCTACCCTGACACCGCTGAGGTGTGGGAACAAAGTGCACCTTTTGGCTCTCTAAAAATGTGTGAACATCTAAGATGATGTTTTGGTGCTAAATCATATTCCATGCTTGTAACCTGTGGCAAATCAAAGGTACAGAAAATATGTTTGTGCACACAAAGCGCTGCTCGACTGGCGTGCAGTGACAATGCTGCTCCGTGTTAACACGACTGTGGGTATCTGCCTCTTCGCTTTCTGTGCTGAGGAAGGCAGGTCCCTTTTTGATGAAGCTGTTTAAGGCTCGTGCAGCAGTGATTCAATTCCTGAAATACTAATTTATGGTGTGAACAGATACGCTAAACAGGGGAACGGCAGGCTCAGGGAGCACCTCGGTGAGCTTCTGGTGAATGGCTTCTGGATGTGGTTGTAACATGAGAATTCAAAAATCTTCTTCTTTTCATGGTTGTTTTTTTTTTGTACAACTTTCTGCAGAGAAGGAACTTTAAATATGACAAATTTTAATTCTCTTTTGCTCTTGTACAAACATCCTAACATCTAGTTTCTTGCCACTAGATGGAGATTTTTAATCTTTCAAATAATGTGCATAAAGTTGTTAAAATGCCAGTAACACCAAGCTTACCAGGTAGAATGAGAAATACTTTTGATCGTTGCTCTTTGGGGTGGGGGAACCCTCACCCTTTGTTAAAATAATCTCCATCTATCCTCCTTTGTGCAGTGTTTGGTAGGCAGAATTCATTTCGTTTGGTATAGCCGAGATTGAGACTTTTTAGTGACATAATAACAAACCTGTAGAAACTTTGTGTTATGCAGACTGTCAGCAGGATAAGCCAAGCTGGAACAAAATCTGTCTTCTCACAGAGCGGAAATAGCCGGGAAGTCACTCCAATTCTTGTTGCACAAACACAGAGCTCTGGCCCGCAGACGAGGTAGGGGGGGAAAAAAAATTTGTCTTGGTATTACGTTTTGCATTTCCTTTCTTGAAGGAATTTGGCACTTTATTTGCCCAGCTTGCGTGGATGTCCCTGAGGAATTCCTCTTTGGATGAAGAAGTGTATTTTTTTGTTGGGTAAAATAACTCCTGTGTGTAAGTAGGAAGCTCGTGCTTGGTGGTTGGTCTGTTTGTTTTAAATCTCCTTTGCAGTTAGACCATTTCATCAATAAATGCAAAAGTAGCTGGGAGGAAGTTCTGCTCATGTTCTTGACGTGCAACAGGTAGATTTGGTTTTTTTCGTCCCTTGAAATGGGAATATCCATGCAATAGTGCTTGAGCTTTTTTGTTTAAAATAAAGATAAAAGCTGTTTTTATTCAAAATGGAGAAAATAACTTTATTTTTTTTTAATTTGCTGTTTGTTTTCAGTACAACACCTCAGGTATTGAGCCCAACAATTGCTGCTCCACCAAACGCACTGCCTCGAAGAAGCTCTCGCCTGTTTACTAGTGATAGCTCTACAACAAAGGTAACAAACTTTGTGCGTTCTGCAAACTTGCGGGTTTCTTACCCATACCACTGCACTAATAATTCCTCCACGTGCACAGTAATTCTAGCAGCTTAAAACCAGGTTCTGTATAAGCAGAACTTATGAAATATCTGGCTGTGCAAAACGCATCACGATGCTGTAGTATGTTGTTTTTAAGCTCTCAAGAGTGCTCAACTAAAATAGTAGGAAGAAGAGTATCATGAACAAAAAAGATACATACTGAAGTTTAAAAGTCAAACAGCTGGGTGCCATTGTTAAGTCTGCAAAGAGGCATAAATATAATTGTGCACAATTCACTTTCATCTTTAGTTGTCTGAATTTAAAAGACTTTTGTATTTGTAACTCTCACTCTCCTTATTTGCAGGAAAATAGCAAAAAATTAAAAATGAAGTTTCCACCTAAGATTCCAAACAGAAAAACAAAAAGTAAAACAAATAAGGGAGGAATAACTCAACCAAATTTAAATGACAGTTTGGAAATTACCAAACTGGACTCTTCCATCATTTCAGAAGGGAAAATTTCTACTGTCGCGCCACAGATCCAGGCTTTTACACTACAGAAGGCAGCAGCAGGTCTGTTTGAACACTATTGGACTGTAGTAGAGTAAAGCATCATGTGTCTTTTCAAGTTGAATGAAAAAAAGTTTTGCTCCAGTGTTTCTTTCTTGCTTGTTTCCGTTAGCCTGCAGCTATCACCTTTGTATAATTATAAGGATGCTGAATTCAGTCTCTTCTAGTTAACTTACAAAGAGCGTGTAAAGAAGTACTAAGAAGTGGCTAGTTGTAAGCAGATATATCTTGCAGGCTGTGGTTCTTATTAATGATTAAAATACTTTCAGGCAAGGTCCTTGGAAAGTGATCCAAAGGAGCTATGAGTAACCCAGTCATCTTCCCTCAAAACTTGGTTTACATAGTCTGTTCTCCCTTCATATTTCCCATTTGTTTAAAAAGAGTCTTTGTTCAGATTGTCAGAAAACCCTCAGCAAACTGAATTCCTCTCTTTTGGCTCGATAACGTTTCCAGGCAGCAAGATGTGTCCATGGATACCAGACATGTGGAAACTGTGTTCAGACCTCACGAAATGTTTGAATAGCTGCTGGAAATGCAAAACTCCAGTTGCCCTGAACTTCAGAGTTTCTCTGTTCCTGAGCATTCTGATTTAAGAACTCGTTACTATCTGACTTCCATTATGAGGGTTGATGTTTAGAATATTACACCTAAGTTAAGAGTGCATAAGCCTGTGTTGCAGAACTCCTAAAAGATTTTCATAAGCAAGTTGAGGAGCAGTGCCTCCTGGAATTAAGAGTTGGCAGGATTAGTAATTTCAAGTAAATAAGTCTCGGTTGTCTGTTTTCCACTTTTATTTACTGTATTTTTCTCCTAGAAGGTTTGATGAGCCTTCTCCGTGACATGGGGAAAGGTTATTTAGCCTTGTGTTCGTACAACTGTAAAGAAGCGATAAATATTTTAAGCCATTTACCATCCCACCACTACAACACTGGCTGGGTGCTGTGCCAAATTGGGAGAGCTTACTTCGAACTTGCAGAATACATGCAGGTAGGAACTGTGTTCTTGCTCTTTTTCACTTCTGTTTTGAGTAGCTCTGCACAAAACCTGCAAGCTTCCTGCAAAAGCTGTGTGAAGTTTACACTTGAGAGAATTGTATGAACGTAAAAGTAATACCTGGAATGGCCTTAGATCTTCAGTCTGCATCAGGAGGCATTCGGCTGTCCTGAAGAGGCTGAGTTACGCTTTAGGTTTATTTTAATGTTATTTCCTCTTGCATCCAGCTGCTGTGGTCTCCTCCTTGCCTCTCTGCATTGTCACCTGCAGCCATGCTGATGTAACTGTGCTGCAATGCTGTAAATGAGATCACTGAAACCGTTTGAGTTCTAAAAGCAAGAACTCCTCTCACCCTTTTTTGTTAACGCAGATTCCATCAGTGGTCTGGTTTTCTTTGCAGCCTCCTTGGGACAACTGAGGTGTTGGCAAACTGCTTCCGAAGCAGAAGCGAGCAGTTTGGGGTAGTCCAGCAGTTGAACACTCCTTGTCACTCATGGCCTGATAGCTGATGTGTCGGGTTCTGTAGAAGTTTTTAAAACACCGTTTGACAGATGCAATGTGTTTCAGAACCAGTTTTTGAACTGTACACACAATCTAATCAGAGATGAGCACATTGTGCTTCTCAATAGTTTATTTTGAAAACCGAGGCTACAGACCCAGATGTTTCCCAAAGCTGGGCTTCTCCCCTTGCTGCTGCTTTGAGTGTTAAAACCTGAAATGTCAGCTTATGAAACAGATAATCAGAAAGCCTTCACTAGTCAACTGTCGCCCAGAAGCAGAGCTGCTCACGTGAAAGCAAAGCACATCCACGCGTTGTCCCATGCTTACGCCTGTCCCCCGTCCCCCCCATCAGCAGTGTTTGCTGCAGCGATTGTCCTGTTGCCTTTTGCCTTGTAATTATTACACAACATGTCTGGAGGGGTGTAGCGCTCCAGAGCCATTCTAACAGATGACAGCTATTGCACTAAGTCATACCTGGCCCATAAAAGCGTGCTACACTTTTCCTGAGTTTGTGGGTGACTTTTTTTGCATTGCTTGTTCACTGTGATAGAGACAGAACTGTCATCTCAGGCAGCAGCAGGGAGGGCTGGCTGCATTTCTGCTGGCATGTCGGGGTGTAGTCGCTTCCTTCGCTTGAAGGGGAGGTTACAGGACTTGTACCTCTGTAGTACACTTACAAAGCAAAGAGGATGCTCGCTCTGGATGGATGAGCTTCTAACCTTGACCTGTGTGCTGTGCTTTGGTGGGTGGAATTCTGTCTGAAGTTTAATTTCTGTTCTTAGGCTGAGAGAATATTTTCAGAAGTAAGGAGGATTGAAAACTACAGAGTAGAAGGCATGGAGATCTACTCAACTACGCTGTGGCATCTGCAGAAAGATGTTGCCCTTTCAGTTCTTTCAAAGGATTTGACGGACATGGATAAAAACTCACCAGAGGTATAAAATGCTGTAGTCTGGAATGAAAAGAGGGCAACTGTATGTGGCCAAAACAATGATTTGGAACAAAAATCTGAGCTCTAACCTAGCTCAAGTGTGTTCTCCTGCGAGACCTGCATGGCAAAACTGGAGAGGGAGGTGGCAGCGTTGTCTGTGGAACTGACGATGCCTGAAATGGCTTCTTAGAATTAGAATATCTACAGGGGCCAGGTTGAAACCTTTTATCTGTTAATAGTTATTGAAATTTGCATTGGCACCAGTCATCCAGGAAGACCACAGGTTAGTCAGTCACTCCTGCTGCTGCCAGTATGAAGAGATAAGGAATATGCAGAGATAAGGAATAGATTTTTCCGGTCCCACCTTTTAATTGCTGTAGTTAATTTACTGGCACTTAAAACATCTTTGCTCTAGAATTTTATTTTCAGACGTAATGTTGCACATTTTAATGCCAAAGTCCGTTAAACGGCAGACTGTATGGTAATATAGAGTCATGATGTGCAAAAAGCCAGAGTAAAAGCATTAGATGTATTCGTTTGTGTTCTTAACAGAGTTGAGAAAACTGGATTATATTGGGATTTTTTTTTTTTTTTTTTTGTTGGAGGAGAGAATAGTGTTCACATTGTCTTGTTAGCTTGTCCAATAGTGGAAAAATCAAAACCAGTGAGGCAGTTGGTAGCTGTCGTAAGATAGTCTGGAGTGAAGAAAATGCAGATTCTGATACAAGGAGTAGTAAGATAAGTCTGGAGAGAAGAAAATGCAGATTCTGATACAAGGAGTGGAGAAGAGTTATGCGATTTGGCAGGGATGCTAAAAATTTGGGAAAGCAAGGGACCCTGGACTGTGGTGCTTTCCAGTCTCAGTGCTGGTTGCTGAGCAGGAGGGAA